ATGTTAATTAATTCGTTCAATAACGATTTATCACAATTAACTCCTCCCTCTCCATCTCATGTTTTACCACCGCCCTTGCAGACATTTAATATAGTGTTCTGTAGACCAAGACAACACAAACTTGTTAACAAATTCGTTGTTATTCACATTCTCTCTAGTATAATTATATGGGAGATAAATTCAATGTTGTACAGTCAGTTTACATCTCAAATGCAGCTGTGCACATATTTAAAACATTAGACATGGCAACCAAGTCACAATGAAAACAACATAATTATTAAAAACATTTACTAAACCAGCTTTGCCTTCGTGCTTCATTATGTTGTCATCCCTTTGGAATCAATGTGGAATTGTGTGGAGGTCCTACATAAACATAAGTCCTACATTTCCGATTCTCTTGAATTCATAACGACTGAAATAAGATCCATTCAAGTTGCAAACTTCCGACGAATCAACAGTTTCCCAGTTGCATGTACCTGCATAAGGTCTTGCGGTACCGCAAAATATTTCGGGAACAAGGTGTAATTGCGCATTTGCCAGGTATATTGAGGTTCATTTGTAAAATATATTCCACATATTACAGAATGTTACAATATATGTTTTCTCTACAGTTGTATTAGAAAAAGATATACAGGCTAGTACAATAGAATTTTAAATTCTTGACGATAATATTTTGGAGAGTGCAAGTTTTATAATTTGTTTGATAGTCTGTTAAATAAAGAGGACTGTTTCATTGTTAAAGTATCTCACCCGTCTACATATCAAGCACTATATATATTTTTTTAAATTTATATAGGCGACAGAAGGGGATCGCAACTGTTTATTTCAGTTCATCCTCGTGAAGCAATTGCTTATACATAAACCCACCGATCGGAAATAATAAATCTCTTAAAGGTTTTATTTGAACCCCATGATCTCTTTTTCAGCCAACATGAAAGTCTGAAGAACTTTGCAGGAATTGTGAATATGTCACGTATGTCCTATCTGTCAGCAGTGTCCTATAGAATTCAAATTATGAAAGGAAACCTGTTTACTTTTAAGACTTGACCGTCAGACGCTATTGAATGAATGATTGACTTGCTTTGGTAATAAATAGAGCTGTAAGGGGTACATATGAGCATTACATGCAGGCACGGATCCAGGATTTCTTAGGGGGTGGGCAAATTTGAAATCATGCGAGCCAAATATTGGTACGTTATGGTGACCAGCAGTGACGTAATTGGGAGGGGGTGGGTGCAAGTAGGGGCGAGTTTCCTCCCTCCCTCCTCCGCGAAGCGCGGAAGCTTTGACATTTCAAAAAATTATTAGAGAAAGAAGACGATTCGTTGTACCGTTATCGACTCTTAATCTTCGTCTAAATTCAGTTCCCCCCCCCCTCCCGCGCGAAGCGCGGAAGCTTTTACGTTTCATTAAATCATTAGAGAAAGAAGACGATTCGTTGTATCGTTCTTGACTCTTAATCCTTGTCTAACTTCAGTTCCTCCCCCCCCCCCCCCCCCCCCCCCGTGCGAAGCGCGGAAGCTTTTAGGCATTTAATTACGGTCAGATGAGCATTATTTTAATACCCAATTGTGACATTTGCAGATCACTAATGGCGTGGGGTTCAGGGGGCGGAGCCCCCGGAAACTCAAGGGTTTTAGGCACTCAATTACGGTCAGATGAGTATCAAGGGGCCCGCCTTAGGGCCCTAGGTGGAATCCAGGGGGCTGAGCCCTCGTGGTTTTAGGCATTTAATTTAATCATGGTCAGATGAGCATATTTTGATACATCATTATAATGTGACACTGGCATTTAACTATTTTTTCTTTCTTGCTCTCTTTCTTTCTATTTCTCTTAAATATACTTTTTCAAAAAAAGGGGGGGGGGGGGGGGGGGGGCTCGAGGATCCCGATCCCCGCCGTTCCGCGGGCCCTGACATGTAGGCATCTCAAGAAGCATTTTCTTGCCTGGCTGTAAATTTAGGAATTTGTCATTTTCCAACAAACGCATACAAAAGTACAATTTACTTTAAAGTGATGAAAAATCTCGGGAAATTATGTCATTTCAGCATTATTTGTAAACCACCGTTATGGAATTAGAAATAAACCACGTTTGAATTTTATTTCCCCAAAGCCCCCCCCCCCCCCCCTCCCCTATCAGTACGCCAGTGCCCCCCCCCCGATTTACACCTTGTTGACGAGAAAATTAAAACTGATATCCCTAACCTTTCTTCATTCTCTTTTGCTCTTTCCCTTTCCCTTCCCTTCTCTCTTTTAAGTTTGCCTGGGGGGGGGGGGGCAAGGTCATTTTGGCCCACACTCCGCTCCACACATTGTTGACTGATCTCCCTTCTTTCTCCTTTTCTTTTCTTCTTCCTCTTTTTGTTCCCTTTTAGCTCTCCTCTTTTCCTTTTCCTTCCTTCTCTTTTTTTTTAACGCGGGGACGGGGGGGGGGGGGGGGGGGAGGCAAGGGCCTTTTGCCTCCACCCCCCCCCCGATCGGGAAAATTGCAACTGATATCCCCCTTCTTTTTTTCTTCTTCCTCTTTTTTCCTTCCCTTTATCTCAGCTTTTCCTTTTTTTTCCTTTCCTTCCTTCTCTTTTAATTTTTGATGGGGGGAGGGGGCAGCAGCCTGGGAGGCAATTCCTTTTGCCCCCCCCCCGATCTCCTTCTTCCCTCTTTTTTTTCCTTCTTCCTCGTTTTCCCTTTTTCTCCTCTTTCCCTTTCCCTTCTTTTCCTTTTCTTCTCTCCTTTTTTTTCGGGGGGGGGGGCAAGGCCCGCTCGCCCCCCCCCCCTGGATCCGCACCTCTCTACATGTACTAAATGTAAAAATTGTCTATTATGTAAAAATCAGACTAATTAACGAGCATGCTCGCTAAATCAATTCGACAACTAATGATCATTATTTTCTCAAAAAAAGACATTTTCAAACCTTTTGGTTTTGAGGGAAGTTCTAAATTATTATTATCATTCAAATTACGTTGGAATTTAACCTCGTCATTATTTTTGGCCTGCACATAGGACATAATACCCGTTTTAACTTCAATAAACTGTATTGTAATTGGATGGTGAAAAATTAATATTCCAGTTTATCCATAGTCAATGTACATGGCGCTATAGGGTGGTGAAAAGTTAGCGTAGGGTGGTGAAAAATTAATATTCCAGGTTATCCATAGACAATGTACATGACGGTAGGGTGGTGAAAAGTTAGCGTAGGGTGGTGAAGAGTTAATATTCCAGCTTATCCATAGACAATGTACATGGCGCTAGGGTGGTGAAAAGTTAGCGTAGGGTGGTGAAGAGTTATTATTCCAGCTTATCCATAGATAATGTACATGACGCTAGGGTGGTGAGAAAAGTTAGCGTAGGGTGGTGAAGAGTTAATAATCCATAGACAATGTACATGACGCTAGGGTGGTCAAAAGTTAGCGTAGGGTGGTGAAGAGTTATTATTCCAGCTTATCCATAGATAATGTACATGACGCTAGGGTGGTGAAAAGTTAGCGTAGGGTGGTGAAGAGTTAATATTACCATTTATCCATAGACAATGTACATGACGCTATAGGGTGGTGAAAAGTTAGCGTAGGGTGGTGAAGAGTTAATATTCCAGCTATACATAGACAATGTACATAACGGAAGGGTGGTGAAAAGTTAGCGTAGGGTGGTGAAGAGTTATTATTCCAGCTTATCCATAGATAATGTACATGACGCTAGGGTGGTGAAAAGTTAGCGTAGGGTGGTGAAGAGTTAATAATCCATAGACAATGTACATGACGCTAGGGTGGTCAAAAGTTAGCGTAGGTGGTGAAGAGTTAATATTCCAGCTTATCCATAGACAGTGTACATGGCGCTAGGGTGGTGAAAAGTTAGCGTAGGGTGGTGAAGAGTTATTATTCCAGCTATCCATAGATAATGTACATGACGCTAGGGTGGTGAAAAGTTAGCGTAGGGTGGTGAAGAGTTAATATTACCATTTATCCATAGACAATGTACATGACGCTAGGGTGGTGAAAAGTTAGCGTAGGGTGGTGAAGAGTTAGTAAATTACCATTTATCCATAGACAATGTACATGACGCTAGGGTGGTGAAAAGTTAGCGTAGGGTGGTGAAGAGTTAATATTACCATTTATCCATAGACAATGTACATGACGCTAGGGTGGTGAAAAGTTAGCGTAGGGTGGTGAAGAGTTAGCGTAGGGTGGTGAAGAGTTAATATTCCACTTTATCCATAATTGACAATTTACATGAAATTATATCCATAGAAAATATGTACATGACGGTGACATAATGGTGAAAAGTTTATGTGATTTGGTATTTAAAGAGTCAATGCCCCCTTTCCCAGAGAAAAAGCATATATATATGCATGACATGCTTATAATTATGGTGCGGGGATATATTGCAATTCGAAAGAAGATAATAACGTTTTAATTTCTAACATAAATGAGGTGAGGTCTTAGTATAATTCTTTGATTTGCCCCTAAGTACTGCGCTTTCCCCCCCCCCACCCCCCCCCCCCCCCCCCCCACCCCCCTCCATCATCTACTCTCATTATATCCGACCACCATGCCTATTTTAATTGGTAGCCATGCAGCCATCGTTGCACTGATCATGCCTGATGGATACAATACACAAAGAATATATTGCGCGTGTGTGTAGTATAGCGGTTGTACGTGTACAATGCGATCCTTACACTTATCAAATTGGCATTTTTTACACATAAGATGGGCTACCTTCATCTCCGATTAGGTGTGTGAAGAAAAGCTTCACCCCAAGTTGTGCCGAGTATAGCTGTTGGAAGTGTAAAATGCGATCTGTATACTCATCAGATTGGCAAACCCACACATTGATGCATTTTAGATTGGACTATCTTCATCCCACTGACCTGTGTGACCTTGTGAAATATATAGCTTTACATAATTTTGGACTCGGCACACTTTAAAGTTTTTTTGTTTTTTTGTATTACATCTTAAAAATATACAAACAATAATCATATCTAGAAAATAAGATCCACAACATTTTTTTTAATAACAAGTATTTTCTCAAAAAATAAGTTATTGATCGAGCCAGTTAATGACGACCTCTTTTATCTGCACACTTTTCCTCTACGAAAATGGTACGAACATCCTCCAATATAAATGCCATTTTTTTCTCGACGTAGATTAAATTAACTTGTATGGCATGAAAGAGTGGAATGATAATGATATAGCAGTTAATTCATTTTAATTATTATGAAATATGTGCCCACGTAGTTTGCGTGTTTGTGTCGTATTACTTTGCCTTCGAATGCTCAATTTGGCTAACGTGCGGCAGACACGCGTTATGCTACACGAGTAATAGTACTATGGACTCTCTCGGTCTCCTTCACCTGCCTGTGGTGTAGGGCAGGCCCGCGCCTAACTCCGGGAAGCTCCAACACCGGCGCCGCAGGCGTCGGAGCTTCGGGTGGTTTCCTTGGTTTCTCTTGGGGGCTAGTAAAACAGCCGATTGGGTGATATTATCGTTAAATCTGCAAAGGGAGTACTTACAATTTTTACATCATAGGGTGCACGACTCCTCAGGGCTCAACTTCAATCACTTGAAGGTATAATTTTAGGGTGTCTGATCGCGCACCCGATGCTGTGTGCTAAAATACTTCCCATAGAGATTGCACACATCCCTATGCAGTCTACGTGCATTGCATGACCATGAAAATTGGTCAATGATTTTATGAAAAAAAATTGAAATTCAAACCTTTGGGGCTTGTGATCCTGAAGGTGAAACTCAATAGAGTAAAGGAGCCGGTAATCGGACAGCTCCAGTTTTCGGCCGATCCATTAGATGCATGATAAAATCCCTTAAAATACATCGCATAATAGCATAACACATATCCCACACATAACATACCATGCCAGAGTCACTGAAGAACCACATTTGCAATGGAAAATATATCCTAAAATATCACATTTTAGCGATGTAATTGGCGGTCCCCGCTACCCAAATCTGAAAAATCGAGTGTGTTACGCGTGTCTGTAAGAAATATGGGTACCATAAAATGAGCTTTATTTCAAGTATTTTTCAGATTTAGAGCCTGATTTTGTGTTAGTCGCAAGCTCAAAAGTATCTCATCGCATGTATTAAATCAATGCAGCTGAACACCGCGACCTACACACGATATGTCCGTCTAATTCAGATTCCAATTTCCGATCACCGCAGTGCTAGTTTTCGACCAAGCGAGCACCGGGGAGCTCCGGCGTGGGATACCTGCTCTGCCCGCATGTGCAATAGATCAGCGCGGAAACGCATGGCGCGCCACGCGCTTCCTATTGACTTTGTACATGCGGTCGTAAACTGACTCGCTAGGTCGATAACCGGCTCCAATCAGTGAAAATTGAAATGAATATTGTCATGGCAATTCGTGATTTTTTTCTGGGATTCTTTTTTTTTCAGTGACACTGGCATGGTATGGTATGTGTGGGATTTGTGTTATGCTATTATGCGATGTATTTTAAAAGGATTTTACCATGCATCCAACCAATCGGCCGAAAACTGGAGCTGGTCGATTACCCCCTCCTTTACTCTATAAGTAGTGTTCTCCTATTTACACTACATATTTTTAATTGAAATCTTATACAAATATATGAAAATTATAGACTTACTCATACGAATTGTCCCATTTTCGTCTCAGAACTGTGAAACCATACGTTCATGCACTTGAGCATAGAGCTATATGACCCGGCGGCCGATATATTTCCGGGTCAACCTACCAAAACATAGCCAATGGCCAATCAGAGCACTCGTTTTGTGGGTCAAGCCGGGCTGACTTGTACGTAGCTACGGTAGCTATTGGACGTTCGCAAAGAAAAAAAATGAATATTTATCAACTAAAACCAAGATGGCTAACAATGACTATGAGACTCTCTCGGATTAGACTCTAATCATTAATTTTGGAGCTGAATAAGCAAGCTATCGTAAGTCAAAGTATATATTTAAGTTTTCGTTATTGTATAGATAACGGGGGCTGTAGAATGGCGGCAAAATTAGATTTGATGAAGACTTAAAAAGAGAAAAACCTCTGAGCATTTCGTTCATCTCTGTTCGGTCACTCTACCCTCACGGTCCCCATAGGCCGTACTTCAGTCTATATAATCGGAGGAGTAGTGGAGCCAGACGTAGTCTCAGTGGAACAACTGAAGATTAGAGAGACTGAAGTTTTCGGTCTAGCCCGCGCCCGGCTGTAACGAAGTCACTCTGCATCGCGTAGATGTCTAGACCCTAACCCTATACTAATTACTGTATTGCACTTTAGGGCCAGCCTCAGAAAAAATGATTCGAACAGCAGGTTGGGGCACATTTTTTTCAAATGTGAAGAAGTAGCCTAGTCCTAGAGTAGGGTAGAGAGCCCAGTAATCGGTCACTTAGGGGAAATCACTAATATTAGGGTGTCTGAACGATTTTTCAATTTTCAATTTGGTATCATTTTTCACCATTTTTGTTTGAAATTTGAATTAAAAATGTAATAAAAATAATACATTTCAAATTTCAAGTCTCACCAACGTTTCTATCAAAAGATACAGCCCCTCCAAGACGCTGGAATATTCATATCATTTTGATCAGAATCGACGAAAAAGACGTACATGCAGAGTTACGTTGTTTTGCTATATTTAGCCAAACAGCTGTATCGCGCGATATGCAAGCGTATGCATAGCGTACGCATGTAATGCGCAACTTGCAGCTTGAGCTACGCTGTCTACGCGATATGTGCCATTGACTAGTATGGCTAGCCGTTCGCGCCATAAAACCCGGAAGTGAATACACGTTATAGTCAATGGCATTATCGGGCCCTAATTTTTTATATCTGATTTAATTTTGAGAGTTAAGAAAAGTTGTTCAGCTGCCTGATTTGTGCAAGTTTCGCGGCTCATTAATTATTTTTTAAATTGTTACAGCTGTTGACCGAATACTGGACGCGCTACCCTAGATTCTCCGGTGTGCGGCATAGCCCGGTGGGCGGCCAGGGGTATAGACTAGGTCTTCAAAATAAAATATAAATGACTCAATAAAAATTATTGAAACCTACCGTGGATTCCCCGGTAAGTTCTGCTTTGCCGAAAACGTCCGTAGCAGATGCTGACTTTTAAGTTAAGAGATCGAGGCATGACTAGATCAATAATGTAGCTCTATTTGTAACTATTTGTCCGATTGGAGGTGAAATTTGATGTTGTTGTGGAAGTATGATGGCTGTGGTCTGTTTCCTATCGCAGAAATTTTGATTGTGCCACCGCAGGGCTAGTCGCATGGGGAGGCCGTGTACCGATGACGTAATTGCATGCCCGCCTCGTGTGCGGCCGGGGTGTCAATACACACATAACATGTGGGTTTGTGTATGATGGTATGTGTGCTGATGTGTGTACCCGCTATGACCCGCTAGTTTCTAGTAGTACGTACCCCCGTATGGGATGATCCATTCAAGGAAAAGGTGAAATTGTTTAATACTTGACAAATTTACCGTAGTAACAGATAAACATGAGAATTTGGGCTACCCATAGTAATTTGGTACATGCTTTGATCGTGACGTTGCGCATAAAGCTTTGTGACGTATTTTAGTAGCCTAGTATTTTGTTTTGCTCCCGAAAATTTGAAAATCGCGCCGGCCGATAATTCGCTCAGTTGGGGGGGGGGGGGGGGGGGGGGGAGGTAGTGAGCATTTTTTTTAGGGTGGGGGTGCAAATGTCCCCCCCTCCCCCACCATGAAAACGGCGTGAGGTGATTTTACGCACACTTTCCACTTTGGCCTTAGTGCCCCTTTCAGTGGATTTGTGCCCTCTCAAAAAAGTGGCCTTGACCCAAATTTGATGTAATTCGAGGCCTGATGTAGGTTATACCCTCATGCGTGAAGAGTCATGAAAATGTCACGCATAGCTGATCTTTGAACTTGGCGTCTCTGAAAGGGTGATTCCTCATCCTAACCCAATTCATCTCAGGTTGTCAATTCAACGCACTCGTTTTTGTGTGCTAAAAAACCTTCCCATAGATCTACAAATTGCACACGTCCATATGCAGCCTAGATCTACGTGCATTCCGGCTCATGCGAACTTGGTCAATGTTTTTATTACCGAATTGAGATTCAAACCTTTATTCTTTGTGATCCTGAAGGTGATACTCAATAAATGAGGTGTCATATGAAAGGGCAGGTTTTGTCCATGTTCGAAGGAGCGTCATTTCGGAACTAAAAAAATCTTGAACAAAACACAGATTTAAACATGGTTTCCATCGTAGCTCCGAGATTTGCCACTCATGAGAAATGACGTCCCGAGGTTTAAGTTGGGTCAGTTGTAAGGAATATATCCATGCGCTTATTTTTTTGATAGCCCCAAGGGATCACAAAGGATTACAGTTTAAAAATACCCTTTCCCCACTTTTTGAATCGGCTAAATAGGGAGGCGTGACTCTGCTCAGCCCAAATCCATGGTTTTTTTTATTTTTTTTTATTTTATTTATTTATTTCCACATGTGGGGTGGATTGCCCTTTCAACTTAAGTTGATTTTCAAAGGGGTCCACACACATTTAAAAACGGTTACAAATCATATCAACAAACAAGCAAAGCGCATATAATCTTTTTTGCAAAAAAAATCACACATAATGATGAAGATGATAATAATTACTACTACTAGACCTATATACATACATACATATATATATACATGTTTATAGATATAAAAAATATATATACTAGTATGGTGTAGCGACACTGGTTCGTGCGTGTCCTTAATTTGGGGACAGTTCCATGTCTTTAAAAAAACTCGGTCTAACTAAATCAGATGTCACCTATGGAAAGAGAAACCTAAAAATCATCAAGAGACAAATTTTTCTCTGGAATTGGGTGTGAAATTATGAATACATTGACAAAAGATTCAGATTTTTTAAAAATTTACCGTCAAGGGTCTAGGAATCTTCATATCGATAGAAGATGTCATCTAAATATTCTAAACTATGTAAAAAGTGACACTAAATGATGGTTGATATTTTGCCTTGCAAATTATGCAATTACCTAAGTTACCTTATATTTGATGGATCGCCTTTTTGGATTTATAAATCGGCTAAACGTGTAGAATATGAGAAATCATAGATCAAATATCACATTTCTAATATTTCTTTTAAATTTCTGCAGACTTTCGTCACTCTACCATACTTCTAATGCATGACATAACTTTACTTGGTTTGAGAATGGCATGTAGATTTTTTATTTCAGATTTGTATATTTTTAAGAAGAAATGCACTTTGATTCTCAATTTTTGTTTTTCTTTTGATCTCCTGTAGCCGCCAAAGAAGGACACGAAGCAGACGTCAAAGTCCTCCAAGCCAGCTGCAAAGTCTGGTGGCAAGGCCAAGAAGAAGGTAAAGAAACCACATTCCTTAACTTAAAGGAGAATGAAACCCCAACAGACTTATCTGATATTGTTATAATTATTATTTTGAAAAAATGAAATGAAACCTTTTTGATCACCTAGCAAGGTAATGTTATGTATTTTTCATTTTCCTTGCTAGCTATTTTCCCATTAGAGTCACCATTTTGATTGAAATAGGAATGTCAGAGAACAGTTCATATAATGAAAATTCTTCAAACGTGGACTACAACAACTTCAAATGAGAGAATAATCCAAGGTATTACAGTGTCCAAAGTTGTCAAATTTGGGTAGTTTTTGAAGCATATTTTCAACAACAAAAAACATCAGATTTCCCTCTTGACTAATATGCATCACTGTAGGGGGACAAGTGATCAGATTTGTTTATTGTCATGTCATAGGTCAAGGGTCATAAAGATCAATCGACATGTTCTCATAGTGATATTCCAAAAATAATAAAGCCAGGATCTTAAATGAATTTAGGCGGAGGCATATTGGAGATGCAGTCACATTTGTTTTGTTTTTGTTTTACTCATTATGTGTAGCTAGGCACAATTTGTGTGCAAAAATGCCAGAAGCAAGTTGTATTATTCAGATCATCATTACTTTTTTCTGAGATAATAGGCTATATTACTTGACTGATGATATGTCAAATGTATTGTCACTCAGCAAAGTCAACAAAGCAAGTTTGACTGTTTGGTGGTCTTTTTGATCAAGTCTCTATCAATTTGTTTGATTTCCATGTGCTGCTGAGTAGAAGTGGTCCAAGGGAAAGGTCCGTGACAAGCTCAACAACCTGGTGATGTTTGACAAGGCTACCTATGAAAAGCTCTACAAGGAAGTGCCAACCTACAAACTCATCACACCATCAGTTGTCTCTGAGCGTCTGAAGATCCGTGGTTCCCTCGCCAGATTCGCCCTAGAGGAACTCCTGAGGAAAGGTGAGATACAAGCTACTAATAACCCTCTTTTGTAGGGCACCCAACTAGTGCCCAAGCTCCAGTGCTCACTATTATTTAAAGTCACATAGAAGTCAGCTCTCATGAGGAATTTGACACCGTTCGGGTGTTTACCCAATAACAGGTGTTGTCAATCACCAGGGTTAAGCCTTCCGTTTAATGACCATTAGACCGTATGTAATGCCTCGCTTTTCCCTCACCCGAAGCTCTACGAGCGATTAGGGGGTAATTCTTGACTGGCCAACGGGTTTGCTATGTGCAGATTTGTACTCCCAGTAATGGTATTTCCACCAAGTCTGGTGACCAAGTCTGGTGTCAGAGAATTGTGGCCTTTTGCATATGGAAACTGCCGATACAGTCGTTGGATATTGAACGTATCTTCCAGCTGAAACAATAATTTGATGTGTAGTTTTTTTTCCCTCACAAACGATAGTCACTTTGCCTATGTTCTTGTTAACGTACATGTTCATTACAGGGTCCTGACAACCCTTTCCCCCTTTTCATAAGCATTGAAATCAAAATCAGACTTAATGGCCCCAATTCACAAAGGAGGTTTGTCGACAAACCGAGGTTTATGTACGTCATATGACACGTTTTGACCCGTTTTTTGCAAACCTGGTTTGTAAATAACAAAAGGAGGTTTGTCGACAAACCTCCTTTGTGAATTTGGGCCAATTAGTTTGACAAGCTGAGCATTGTTCCAATGTAAAGACCTAGGATATATTGAGTGATTTGTGAGAAATAATATAAGGAAATTTCTATAACAAGTTCAATAATTAATCTAATGTCTAATGTTTTTTTTATAGTTTAAAAAAAATTAGAATAGTAGTTTAGCTGCATTTAGCATGCAATTCAGGGGACAGAATGATGAAAATGAATAATATCATATTCTTTCCATTTGTGAGATTGGAAATTATGCCATTTTTTTTATTGAGTTATGTCAAGTGTCAATGTTGAAATGATTCTATTCATTTATCCGTGGCCTTAGATATTAAGAGATTGTTTCTGTGTCTTGCCTTCCTCTTCTACAGGTTTGATCAAGCTAGTTGTGAAGCACAGCTCCCAGCTGATCTACACTCGTAACCCAAAGGGTGCAGAGGCATAGACCTGGATATGAAAGGACACAAGATCTCTTTCTGCTAGTGTACAAAGTATTGCGATGATACCTCTCTGGTGATGTAAATTAAAGATCCGTACAGAGGAAATCAACTTGTCATGTCCTATTTGTCATTAAGTCATCTTTTGTGAGATAAACCGCTACATTTAGTATATGAGTGTACTTTGGAATGACAGACAATAAGTGAGATGATATATTATGGTGATTGATATAACTGATTGATAGAATGATTGAGTGTTATAAAAATGGGTTCTAATTGGTCAAATGACACCACAAGACCAAGCAACATGCTTCCCTGCCTCACCTACCATGCAAAAAAGTTCCCATCAAAAAAGTTATAATACACAGCTGAGATGCCTGTACATGTATCTCTGGCAAGTACAAATTAAAGGGGCGCAAGGAATTGCGTGTAGTTCCAAATGGCAAGGGCATTGATTTGTACACTTGTTTGGCTGCGCATATCTACTGTGATGTCATAAAATGTAAATGTCACCTCCCAACTTTTACTTCATATTGTTGACCTACTTTTATAAAAACAAAGAATTCATGTTTTGAGACGTGCATTAGTGGTATGCACTACATTCTGTTTAGTCACAATAGGGACTTTTAGATTCTGCACGACGAGAACGTGGACTGCCCTTTTAAGGCAATGTGACGTCACTGCCAGTGCCAATCCATGTTCTCGTCATGCAGAATCTAAAAGTCCCTATTGAGTCTGATAATGAACTTGACAAGTCTCCTTCATTGTCCGATTAACCTACATGCAGTGTATATTTACTGCTCGCACAGCCACATCAATTATCTGTATAATAGATAATTTGGTGATCAAAATTGATTAAATGATTGATGAGATGATCAATGATTGAGAGGAAGAGGGAGAGAGAGAGTGATATGGGAAGAGTTGAGACTACCTGCACATGTACATGATTGTGAGTAATAATAATAATAATAATGTTCAATTCTTATATAGCGCATATTACAAAATTGTCTCTATGCGCTTAGATACGAGAGAGAGAGAAGAGAGAAAAGACAAGAAGAATATTGAGCTTTCACAGTTTAGCAATTACAATTATCAAATCAATTACAAAATTCACATGTTTACTACATAAATTTAAATTTAAGACTGGCATGATCGAAACATATGTTTTTAAGTCGGATTTAAACTGATGTAGTGAAGGACAACGTTTTAGAGACTCTGGAAGATTGTTCCATAGTTTTGGTATGGCATACTGGAAAGCACGGTGCCCATATGTTTTGGTGGATGTGACTAAAGGTGTGAATGTATGTTTTGAAGATGAACGGAGATTGCGAGTTGGTAGATGACTTGAAATAATATTTTGCAAATACAATTTATGCAGTTATACTGAATGACTGAATGATAACTCTTGACTAATCCTACAATTTATCTTCTTTTCTTTTCTTTTTTAAACTAAGAAAGCAAGTAGGTAAGCACACATGGGGTAATCAGTAGGGAGTCGTGCTTGACGAAGGGGAATGAATTCTCCCTCCAGTTGAAAATATGGGAACCAGACCAGCGTGAAGTTGGTAGGCTATTCGATATGCACATTCAAATTGTGAAGTTGGATGGATATTCGACATTCATATTCAAAAATTCGATATTTCTTATTCAAATAGTCTGACAGCTTGAGCGGGCAAGCAGCTACCCCAAAACGTCAAGTAATATCCGGGCAACCCAGAAATACCTCATTTGCCCTGGCCCATGGGGATTAAGGGGGTGCAATTCAAGACTAATCATGGACAAGCATTTCAAGAAATTCTGAAATAAACTCCACGAGTATAGAGGACTATAGATAATGTCTCACGGCTTTAACGGGGTAGGCAGCTAGCCCAAAGGGTCGAGTAATATCTCGACAACACAGAAATACTTCACTTGCCTTGGCCCAAGGGGATTAAGGATGCCCAAATCAAGATTATAAACGGGCAAGCAATTCCAACAATTTTGAAATATACTCCATTAGTATAGAGGGCTATAGAAAATGCCTCATGGCTTTAGTGGGGCAGGCAGCTAGCCCAAAGGGTCAGGTAATATCCGGGCAACCCAGAACTACTTCGCTTGCCCTGGCCCATGGGAATTAAGAATGTCTAAATCAAGGCTATTCACGGGCAAGCGATTCTAACAATTTTGAAATATACACCCTGGGTATAGAGGGCTATAGAAAATGCCTCATGGCTTTAACGGGGCAGGCAGCTAGCCCAAAGGGTCGAGTAATATCCAGACAACACATAAATACCTCACTTGCCTTGGCCCAAGGGGATTAAGGATGCCTAAATCAAGATTATAAACGGGCAAGCAATTCCAACAATTTTGAAATATACTCCATTAGTATAGAGGGCTATAGAAAATGCCTCATGGCTTTAGTGGGGCATGCAGCTAGCCCAAAGGGTCGGGTAATATCCGGGCAACCCAGAACTACTTCGCTTGCCCTGGCCCATGGGAATTAAGAATGTCTAAATCAAGGCTATTCACGGGCAAGCGATTCTAACAATTTTGAAATATACACCCTGGCGTATAGAGGGCTATAGAAAATGCCTCACGGCTTTATCGGGGCATGCAGCTAGCAAAATGAATATGAGTGACAAAGAAAGCGGACAAAATATACAGTTCCTCAGGTAGACAAAGGAACATCCCTTCACTGCTATTATGTAAAAATGTGTAGAACAGGTGTCACATGCATATTCACCTTTTTACATAATAGCATGTTTTGAAGATCTGTGGATATTCGGGGTCATTGCAGTAAGGTGCTAACCGTGAACTGGTATATTAAGGGGAGCCTTCCAAAGTTGCGACTGTGCCCCGACGCGTGGGGCCGCGACCCCCCCCCCCCCCCCCCACTCCGAGAACAAACGGACCCCATACGTGTTACCAAAATGTCCGGTAAAGGGGTACTTTTCGTGCGACAAAGTCCGGCCCGAGAATTGTAAAAAAAAGGGGTGTATTAACTTTTCACCCGGAGATTTCTTTAAAAAGGGGTGTTTTTTCTTTGTTTCTCTCATCTCTTTGGACTCCTGAGATATTATTCCGAATTTAGGGGGGTACATTGAGCATTTTTCATGATTTAGGGGGGTCTCCACGGCAGGAAAAGCCCGCGAAAGGGGGGTTCGAAAATGTTGGCAGTCCTCAGATAGGGGGTGCTTTCAAAAAGAGGGACCAATCATACGCGTACCCTAAAAAACTCTGAGTGGGTGGGGGGGGGGGGGGGGGGGGGGGGGGGCCGCGATGAATAGAACGGTCGCGTCTCAAGAAACGCATTCAGGCGCAAAGGGACGCGATAGTCACCCTCGCCTGATTCTTGCATATGAAAAGAAACTGTATAATTTGACTGATTGTCTGCTACGGACGTGCCTCCTCCGAGCTCCGGTGTTCGATTGAATTGAATCTTCAACTAACACCAAATTCAACCTCAGTCTATTTGGAATTTACATTTTGTGAATTCACCATACTACTCTTCGGAATTTCATCGTGGAAAATATCAAAATTATTTCTCTGATTTTCGGAAACCACGCTCAATTTTGTATTCGGCGCCAAATATACCACGTGACCAAGCGATTGGTCTCAGTGAAAGGAAACCAATTATCCCTTTCCGCCGACCCAACTCCGTATAGTATTTGAATTGTTTTGTGTATTGGGATTGCCAAGAGGTAAGCAATATTTTGGGGCATTTTTCTGCACTGCACTATATGCTAAATTAACCAACAGAACCTAACTTGGGAGCAACACCCATTCCCGAAAGCCGCCTGATATGGCGGCCTACAACCACCTTAATCCCATAAGATATTTCTCATCAGAGATAGAAGGTGACACAGGAGCACTCCAGCAAAGCATAGAGAGTCAATGCTAATACGTATTGACCTCTAGCACTGCATACGTGCTGTGAGGCAGGTATTTTTTTTTAAACGTATACACAAATATACACACCACACAATATTGCATAGACTGCATACAATCATGTCGATGCGGCTGTAAGCAAAATTTGACAGTAGACTTACAATTTGAATTTTTAAATTATTCTTTTTAACATCAGTAAGTTGAAAACAATGTATTTTACTGCCATTTAGGTGTCATCAATTGTCACTAAAGTACCGATTTTGAGTGAAATCAGTTGAGTTTTGGACAGTGGTGTTTGTATAATGTTGAGAATCAAAAGCACAGCTTTTACTACACAGCCAGGATAGTGATGCTCCTATGTGTGACACAGAAGAGGAGGCATACAATAATAGCTTCATCCCCGTAGAAAAGAAAAATGCAAAGAAACACCCTAGGAGAGCTCGGCCACGAGAAGACAGCCACCGTACAGAAAGTTTAAAGGCACAGTCGGGGTCGGATTGCGAAAGCCCCATATTTCAAGAAGACCGAGCAGACCCACATCAATCTTCCACAACCCAAGATGAACTAAACCTCATAAAAATAGCAAAAGAAATAGAGAAATGTCCAGGACCCACCAAAATAGAATTTGTTAAAAGAATCCAAAACGGTATATTGATCAAGTGTCAGAACATAAAACAACATAAGGCAATTTCAAACATATCGGAAATAGGCAGTATCCCAGTTAAGGTAAAAGAACGATCAAAAACAGTAAAAGGAGTAATAACAGGTGTTCATCCAGAAATTACAAAAGAAGATATCACACAAGCGCTCAAAATCTACACACGCGCAAATGCTAAAAGAATCACGAGGAAAATAAAGAAAAACCACCCTGAAACAAAGGGCAGTTCGTCAACCGAAACCCCTAACCCTACCGACATGCCCACCAAAGCAGTCATCCTATCCTTTGAAAGTAAAACGATACCAACACAAATCATACTATTCTATCAGGAATTTAAAGTAGAATAATTCATCCCCCCTGCCCCCAGATGTTTCAAATGTCAACGCATGGAACATGTAATTTCGCAGTGCAATAGCAAGCAAAGATGCGTCAGGTGTGGAGAAGACCACCCTTTCGATCAATGTCCCAGAAAATCTAATCCCTTTTGTGTTAACTGCAAAGGAAACCACTCAGCAGCATTCAAAGGATGCATCGAAGTTAAAAACGTAAGAATTGTCCAAGAAATCCGCTTGGAAAAGAAAATAAGTTATGCGAAGCCACGAAACATTTCAAAGAGGCAACAGAAGTAGAAGAGGAAAAAACTAACTCTAAGGAATCGAGCACAAACGGCAATAGTTTTTTTGTTTTTGTTTTTTGTTGTTGAAATAAATGTTTATTCAGATAAAATCACGGATAACATCGTAGTACATAAATATTCATAACAAAGCACTTAATCACATTTTTAAATGAGATCAAATCAAATTATATATCTCTATTTACTTGATAGTAGATTTTAAATCAGTAATTGTCTTCTTTCACTTAATAATATTCAAATCTGTTGTCTTAGTTTTATTTTCCTCTACTTCTATTTTGTATTTCAACATAAACAAAAAATATTTGCTTATTATTCTCGTTACTACATTTTTTTTTGATTTCCAACACTCGCTTTATAGATTGCAAAGAAAGCATAATGAAGTATTAAATCAATATCTGTAACATTTTCTTTTGCGTCATGAAAACCATATACAACACAAATGGGTGAGAATTTAATTTTTTTACAGAAGGAGTTACATAATACTATTTCAATAACGTTCCAAAATCGGTAAATATTTTCGCATGAAAAAATACATTTATTATAGTAATAACACAAATTGTTTTCTTTGATTTTCCATTTGAATAAATTAACAGGTGTTGGTAAAATATTATACATAAATTTAAAGTTGAATTGTATCAAATAATTATCACGAGCACGTCCAAACCCCCATTTCCTTAGCGTCCTCGCGACAACCTCCATTGTTAATTTTGTCGCACGCGTAGCATGTACTTTGTGTACTTGTACTGTAGCTAGCGCTAGTGTATTTTCTTTTTTTTTCATAGGTTTTTATTAATTTCTCTCAAAGAACAATTGAACATTTATAACATTGTATACAAAATAACAAAATAATTCAACATAGGTCTTTATAAATTGCCAATGATCTTTTACATTTACATATAAAAGTTACACCTCTTCATCTTCCTTTAGAGACAAAAAAGAAAAAAAAATTATATATATATAAAAAGAGAAAAAGCTACAAAACACCTACTACCCCCCGCCCCACACAACATTTAAACACATAACAAGTACAACAGTATACAAAACACACACCACCATAGAACGAACACACAAACAAAAGTAGAGAAGAAAAAAAACAAAAAACAAAAAACAAAAAAACAAAAAAAGAGAGAAGAGAGGAGGGTCAGGAAGTTGTATATTGAGAAAAAAAAACTGAAAACATTTATTCTAAACTTTCCAAAGCTTCCCATTTCCTTAAATGAATTGAAAGTGTGTCTTTCCATTGAAAGTTTTTTCTCTTCATTTCTATTTTCCAACAATCTATATTCTATTTCTTTTGCTTTTGGAGGGTTTCCCTTCTCTCTACTGTGGAAAATCATATATTTAATCAAAATCAAAATGTGGTTCAATAATTGCTCTGTTTTAAAAGTAGTGTCATCTATTCCTATATGAATTTCTTTCCAGGATAATTTCTTCAGAATTGGTAAATTAAGTCTATCTCCACATTTCCCCCAGACTTCCTTTATTGTATTACATTCAAAGAATACATGTTGATAAGTTTCTTCAAATTTTTTGCAAAATGAGCACAAACCATTTTCATGGAACCTGAATCTATGTAAATGATGATTTGTATATAAAATATTATGCAATAGTTTGAACTGAAATTCTCGCAGTTTACTACATATGTCGAGCGATCGCTAGCTACGCGCTTCGATATCGTTCCGTTGGGTCACGTGACCAGTACTTTAATCAACATTGATTAAACTTTGATTAAACTTTAAAGGTAATACAAAGTTTTGGGAAATTTTGAAATATGGGTTGATAGTGAATCTTTACAATTTGATATATTTGGATGCCTCTGTGGATTTATTATAAGCACTAGAAAATTTAGCCCCTAAAACACTTTTTCTTTTGAGAAAAATTGAATATAACAATTTACCGGTGCTCCCGGTAAATTTTGATAAGTTTCCAATAGCGCCTATACGGCCGTACAATGGTAGCTGCGACCATGAAAATCTCAGAATATGTAGTTGTGATATATAATTTCCAAACGGGAATAGGTAATCGGTCGATTTTAGTCAAGAAACATTGTTGTATAGCTTAATTAATATCTTGACCTTGAGAGGGAGCTATACAACATAAAGAGTTTATTATTTACAATTTCATAACTTTAGACTAGATTTCAACCGCGACAACGATCACTGAATATTGAAGGGTCGCAGATGCTTCCAATATGTTCATTTGAACCAAAATCATGACCGCATACCAAAACTTTGTATCACCTTTAACCGGAAGGGGGCCGCTATCATTACTGTCGGAATTTTGTTTTTAATCCATGCTGGGTTACAATGTTTGCCAATGACTTGGACTTAACCAACATAGTTTTGATCAACACTGTTTTTAACCAACGCAGGATTAAAAGTAAATTTTAATCAACACTACATTTTTAACCATGGTCGAGTGTTTTTTAATCAACATTTTTTTAACCCGCAGTTTTTTAATACTTGTTTTAACAGTGTATAGTACTTGCGTATGCGCAAAAGGTCATTTTCCTCGACGACATAAATATATGAATTATTTCATCATAGCTATATATATTTTAATGCAGGCGCGGAGCTATGATCTTACTTTAGGGAGGGGCGGTAGAGAGCAAGCGAATCACTTAAATCACGCTCATTAGGGGGGGGGGTGGCTGATAGGCCTCCCGCGCGAAGCGCGGAAGCTGAAACGTTACCTTAAATTATTAGTAAAAGAAGACGATTTATTGTACCGTACTCGACTGTTAATCCTTGTCTGAATGAAGTCCCCCCCCCTCCCGCGCGAAAGCTTTGACGTTTCATTAAATTATTATAAAAAGAAGACGATTTGCTGTACCATTCTCGACTGTTAATCCTTGTCTGAATTCAGTTTTTTGCCCTCCCGCGCTTCGCGCGGGAAGCTTTGACGTTTCATTAAAATATTATCAGAGAAAGTAGACGATTCTTTGAACCGTGCTCGACTTTTAATCCTTGTCTGAATGAAGCTTCCCCCTCCTGCGCGAAGCGCGGAAGTTTTGGAGTTTCATTAAATTCTTAGAGAAAGTAGACGATTCGTTGAACCGTGCCCGACTCTTAATCCTTTGACGTTTCATTAAATCATGAGAAAAAAGCAGACGATTCGGTGTACTGTTCTCGACTCTTAAACCTTATCTGAATTCAGTCAAACTTCTGCATTGAAATTAGTACGAGAGGATCGAGCAAGAATACCGAAACAGCTGACCCGACACAGCAACATATTTGACCGTGTCTTTCTTGCTCCCTCATTAAATTTAAATTTAATAGTTATGGAGTATGAAGAGCCTGTTTACTTTTTTGTTGTTGGCAAAATGGTGGACTCCTTTAATATCAAAATTAAATTAGTAGAATGACAAAAAGGAAGACTTTCAGATCATTTTCATATACCTGTATGTTCCCGGTGCACATATTTGAGGTGATGCCATAGTGCTCGAGTACCCTTCTGGGCATGCCATACACGAAAAAGAAAACAAACAAAACATCATCAATTAAGGGATATCAGGAAATTGA